TTGTTCCTGTTTGTGGGTCCTTTCTGCCTTTAGTGTTGCCTTCAGCAAGTGACATGCATGCTCAATTGGGTTGAGATTCGGTGACTGATTCTGCCATTGCAGAATATTCCACTTTTCCTTCAAAAGGTATTGTGTTTTGGATCATTGTCCATCTGTACTGTGAAGCGTCGTCCAATCAACTTTGCTGCATTTGGCTGAATCTGGACAGACTGTATATCTCTAACCACTGCAGAATTAATTCGGCTGTTTCTCTCTTGTCACATCATCAATAAACACCAATGATCCAGTGCCACTGGAAGCCATGCATGCCCATGCCATCACACTGCCTCCACCATGTTTTACAGATGACGTTGTGTGCTTAAGATCATGAGCTGTTCCAATCCTTCTCCACACTTTTTTCTTCCCGTCATTCTGGTACAGATTAATCTTAGTTTCTAAGAATGCTAAAGAATGTCCAAAAAAGGCTTTGCCAAAAAAACATCTAAAAAAGCCAAACCAGTTCTGGAAAAGTCTAATCTGGCTTTTCTATTCTTCAGGGTTATGAATGGTTTGCACCTTGTGGTGAACCCATACTTCTCTTAAGGCAGGGTTTGGCACTTCAGTGGAGACACTTAACAGAACTGTAAGACATATCATGGGGAAGACCTTGCTACACTAATACTGAGTATTTCCTCCATCTTGGGAACCATGGAGGGGAAAAAAAAAAAAAAAGGAGGTGATAAAAAGCTCTCTGCAATGTTTCTGAAATGAATGACACAATATTTTGCCAACCCTATGTCAGAGGTACACGACAATTTCCCACTAGCTGTTTTGGTTGGGAGTCAGAGGAAACGTCTGCCCCCAATGCCAGAAATAACAGCTTTACCAGTGTCGAGTACATTTTTAGACTCCACAGTAGCAGCATCTCAAATATGCAACAGGGCACCCCAAGAACCAAAAAAGTTAGCCCCTATGGATCCATTTTCCAGTATACTATGACTTACTGTATCATGTAAAGAAGAGACAGAAGCAAGCTGTTGAGCAGCTGGTGGATCTCCAGCCTCACACAAGAATGTTGTTGGATTTGGCCTATCCTCATATGTTGGGTGGCCAATTGGGGGTAGAAAAACAAGAGCAGGTTGAAGAGCAGTTTGTCAGGCCTGCTATAAAGCAGTCAAGGAGTAATAAAAACGTCACCCTCAGTGTCCGCTGGTACCCTTTTCTAAAATTGAGGCCCTTAAAAGATTTATTATGGATCTTGTCGAGTTTCATGCAAAAGTTTGCCAGCACACACAGGTAGTCCTCGACTTTGGCACCCGGTACCCAGAAGCAATGGCTCTTGGAAACGCCTTATGCGATAGCGAAATAGCTGTTGTACATGTTTTCTCATACCAGCATTCCTAAGGAGATTTTGACAAACTAAGGAACCCCCTTGGCATCAAGGTAGAGCTGTGTTGATCAAGTTACTTTACTATGTACCAAAATGATGGGCTGGTAGAATTCTACAGAACCCGGAAATGTACGCTAAAAAACAAATTGATAAGGATGGAAAATTCTGGAACTCCCTGCAGCCATATCTAAATATTCCCACCTAAATATCCTACCACATTTCCATGTTGAACTTTTGTACAGTAGACCTCAGTAGGTCATGTCTCACAAACTTGTAATTAAACACATTAATTACATGCTGGATAGGATAGTGGCAGTCAAGACAATTGCTCTGGAACATATGCAGCAAGCCCAAGTGGCTCGAGCCAGCGGCTGTCTTAGTTTTGGTGCCTACGTTGAGAGAAGATTATGTTCTGAAGTTCCAGGTCCCATATGATATAAAAGGAAGAATCAGTGATGTCAGCTACCAGGTATATCAGTTCAGAATGAGAAAGCCCTTCCCAAAAACACCAACCTATGCATGAGCAGAAAGAGACCTTTACATATGGCTGTCAAGCTCAGACACTCACCTTGCAAAAGCGATGACTGCAAAAAGCATCACCTGAGTAAAAAAGTAGGGAAATATTTATTTAATGACTTCAAAAAGCAGGTTAGGAGGGACTCAGAGAACCAAATTTAGATCCTACAAGTCACAGGCGACCCATATACAAGACACCATAATCAAAGGCTTTAATAAAGAAATGGGAAGTCAATGGTCTCTGAAACATGACAGCAAGTAAAGTTCCCAACCCTTAATAGTGCTGGGGGTCAAATGCTGGTCTAAGTCCAGCTACGGGAAGGAGAGGATTTGTCCCACAGCAAAGTTCCTGGGGAGAAAGCCTTTAACCTCACACCAAGCAAAGCATGCCTTCCATGTATCATAAAATACCTTGCAAGAAATAGGCTTCCTAGCTTTTACTATCATAATGCCCCTTTCTTTAAGAAAATTAACTACAAAACAGCTATGGCATTAAAGCCAGCAATCGTGAAGCATTATGGTAAACTGGTCTCTAGGACAGAAGATCTGGATGATCTGAAGAGTTCAGGAGCATCCAAGCAAAAGCCTGATCAGATCCAGCTGGGCCAATCCCAGAGCTATGAGTCCAGAATGTCCTCCATCTCAACCCTGTGGAGCAAAAGAGCAAGCAGTTTTATGGAAGAGACAGGTATAGATCAGGGTGTACTGAACACCAAAGAGCCACCAGAGCATCCACTGCTTCTGTTAGTGCACTGCGGTACCTGGAGACAAGCATGTCCAGTTTGTTGCTGAATCTGGGAGGTCCACATCCAGCATCCCTCACCTGTAATATAGCCCCTGAAACACGTCTGGGTCCAAACACTCATGAATAAAACTGGCCATAGATGGTTAGGTTTTTATCCTGTTCACCCAGAAGGATGAAAGAAATCAAAACTAAAAGATAGCTTCATTCAGAAATGAGGAGGATGGAGGAATTCCTCCTACCAGGACATTGTATTCTGACAGCATACCTCTTTGACAGAAGTCAAATTTAGATCTGTGAATGGCCAGCCTAAGAAGTCTACATCCCAAGTGTGGACAATTGGAAAGCAATGAATTATCTTCCTAAGACAGGATCTGCTCCGCCTCTCTTGCCATGGCAAGACTTATGATTTCTCCATGATGCCTGACATTTGCCACTGCTGTGCAATGTCTGACAGAATCCATATCAGGTGACCCTTCAACCAGAGTTGGATCCCAGAGCCACCAAGTTAGAAACAACCTGGTCCTTGGTGCCAAATGAACTGGACTGTCCAATGACTGGACTAACCTGTTGCATGACAACAGAATGTTGCAGTGTAGGTGTCTGGAGTGAAACTGGGCAAATGGAACTACCTCGAAGGAGGCTATCATCAGCCCCAGGATTCTCTTACAGAAGCAGAGTCGGGTGATTCCTGGACTGGAGAGGGAATGTGAAAGTGGAGGGTTTAGTTTTCCTTCCTTAGCAAAAACTCTGACTTGAGCAGTCAGAGACAGACCCAGATATTGTATGTGTTGAGTTGGTTCCAGTTCTAAAGATTCAAATTCACCCAAACCTCTGCAATGCCTGGATGGTCAAGGCTACATTGTCATCCAAAACCTGTGCCAAGTGCTCATCCATTAGAGGCTGTCTAGGTATTGTACATTAAAAATGCTTGCACGCTTACAGCAAGTGGAAAACTAGAGCCAGCACCTTGGAGAACACACAGTGCAAAAGGTAGGTCAAATGGCAGGACTGCAAAATGGAAATGCAGAAGGGACACAGAAAATTGGAGGAAACTCAAAGAAAAATGGGGACATGTTCCATGGTTTGCACAGATGTCAGAAAGTCTCCCTGGTAAAGGGGTGACATGACAAAATCTGGTGGATTCCATATTAACTTCGGAGCTGAAAATGAAGACGTTGAAAGCTATCAGATCCAAGATGAGTATGTCCCGTTTTGGTTTGACAAAAAAAAAAAATGCATCTGGAAAAACCTGGTTCTAAAGCATCTAAGGGACAAGAATAAATCAGTTAAAAGTTGGTCCCAGCCAGCACAAAAGAAAAAGGCCGGGACCTTTGTATGGATTAGAGCCTTGCTACTATAGCAGTTCATTGTTCAGACAGATACCTCTGATGTTGGCTAGTCTTGTCACAGAAAATATTGGGACATCTAGTCACAGAACATCTAGTAGCATACCTTACTTGGAAACTAACTCCTGCAGAGAGGAACCAGGCCCTCAAAGAGTCACAGAGGTATTACACCTTTTGGGAAGACCGTTCCAATTGATCACAGACCATTCTCCACTACTACAGATGGTTCGGAACAAAAGGAAACAATGCAAGTGTCACAAGATAGTTTCTGGATCTGCAAGACTTTAAATGTTATGTAGAACAAAGGCCAGAGACCTTGCAAGGAAATGCTGATGGACCATCATATGTCCATGTTATATGCTCCTCCTCACTGGTTGAAAAAGGGGGGAGGGTATGTGAGGCACTGCCTGACAGAATCGAGGGCAGCATAGATTTGATGAATATCTCAATATCTTAATAAATCCTGTTTCACAGAGCCTTGGTCTCCATTCCTGGGTCCACATCTTATTTGATAGCCAGACTTAGTTATTATTCACAGCAGTGTACTCTTTATACATGTGAGTTGATTGATGCTCAGGGCTCTCTCTGCTGTGAGAGCCTGCTGCTGGGCGAAAAGGCAGCGCTGACAGAACACTAAAAAAAGTACATGTAACTTGTCTTGAAATTCTCTCAAGTCATCATTTCTTACCTTGGTCACATGTCAGTAGTCCTAGGCCGATATCCTGGTCAGGTATTAATGCTGAAGATTCATTTAAGCTGTGGGTGCTGGGTGATTGGATGGAATGTGAAGCTTTAGTGGGGCTTTTAACAGGACTACAGACCCCAGAAGAGTCATCTGGGCAGAGGAAAACATCAATAGGTCCTTGGGTACTTTTCAGAGATATCTGCAAAGCCTTAAAGGGAAAGAGAAACACATGCAAAAGACATAAGGACCACATAAAGAGGGTTAGTAAAAACAACTCAACATATTTTAAAAAGTACTTCTTTAAAAAAAAAAAAAAAAAAAAAAACACACATCCCACACTATAAATGGTAGATTTACTAAAATGGGAGCACTCAGAATCTGGTGCAGCTGTGCATGGTAGCCAATCAGCTTCAAAATTCAGCTTGTTCAATGAAATGATAAGTTCACCTTTCGGAACATGTTACACCCCAAAAAGGTCCCAAAAGGACCAGCCCCCCCCCCCACTTGCCAATTCCACCCCCCGATCTTCTGTTGTAACAGCTAGTGGGGGATCTTCTCCCCTCCTAGCTGTCACAGTTTAAAGAAAAACATGCAGCACAGCATTCTGTGAATGGGAAAACTACAAGTCCCAACAGTCTTTGTGACTGTTGGCTTGTAGTTCTCAATGAACTACCGTGGCACTGTTGAGCACCCTGGTAGTTCAGTGATTCTTCCTACTAGTGTGCATCTGCCTGCCCGTATAAGGTACGAGCAGACAGATACACTGACAGTCTGTAGGAGTCCTGCATGGCGCTCCACGAAAACCAAAAACAAACAAATCTCTCTCTCTCTCTTCAAAGTTTATACAAATCTCCCAAAAAAAAAAAAAAAAAAAAAAAAAAATCAACTCAAATGTCCATATCCCATCCATGATCTTTGTAATAGTACTGGTGTGTACAGGACAACTGTAGCTCAGTTCACCTCTGGTGTATCAGCATACCGATCATACGTGCACCTTCACCAGTTGTGCGCTCACCTTGTATATATGACCAAACCGTTAAGCGAGGTCATATAAAAAACTTTTGTCCCTTGTATGGACTGACTGTAGATGGGATTATTATCCTAAGGTTCTGGATTCCTTTCACTCCTATTGATCCACCTCCGCCGGTTCAGATGCCATAAGAAATAATCAAAACATAGTACTTTATCCTTTATAAAAACATTTATTTATAAGCTGTATTCCACTTACATGTGTTAGATGTTAATGCGCTTCCTATCATGTCAAAGTGCTTCAAACACCGCTAGCAGTTCTCTCATGTAATATTGCTGGTACCTTTTATGCTTATGTGGTAAATATTGCTATCTCCAGAGCTATTTAGCCCACATTTTTATAAATAAATATCTGCACTGTGCAATCCTTCATATGTATAATAACTATAAGGTAATCTAAGGGTACTAATTCACACTGCGACCCCTTCACCTAAACGGTGATCCCAGTGTGTACCACTACCGCAGCTGGCAACACTAAACACTCCCTAAACAATCAGATAACGTGAATCATATATAATTGACAATATTCATTCCTTACACATGAATTTGAGCACAACCTAAACCTACATTAAAATGTTTAAAAACCAAAAAATAATATAACATATTAAATGAAAACAAAATTAAAAATCTTACATATAACCATAATAATATAAAATTAAAATGTGATGTATTGACTACGAGATATATATATATATATATATATATATATATATATATACATACATATATACACACACACACACACACACATTCTACCATATATTAAATATCTATATATTTTTACCCCAATCTGATGAAATATATACCCACACCTATTTAGTTGGTATGAGTGATACTAGATATTGCTAATGAAGCATGTTAAGTCAAAATCCTAATTCAAACCCAGCGGTGAAAAGCTTTTCATTTCATGGATCAACCTTGATTCTTTTTTTGCTTAGTTCTCTAATTTTATTATCTCCTCCTCAATGACTAATATGTTTTTGTACACCCCAGAATTGTAGTTGACTGGCATCTTTATTATGAGCTGATCGAAAATGCTGTGCTAAAATGGTGATGTATGAAATATATACACACACACACATTATATACAGTATATATACAGTCATATATATATATATACACACATTGCACACAGTAATATATATATATATAAAATATATCCCCTCCCTCTTAGATTGTAAGCTCCCTCTTTGTATTGAACTGTATCATTGCTGTATTGAACTGTATCATTGCTGTATTGAACTGTATCATTGCTGTATTGTCTCCCGTTATATTGTAAAGCGCTGAGCAAACTGTTGGTGCTATATAAATCCTGTATAATAATAGTAGTAATGTATTTAATCACAGGGACATTTCAGGGCGTACAACACTCTCTTTATTATTTTATTTTTTGGGTTATTATAAACCCTGCTACAACTGTAACATCTTCCACAGGCATAGAACCCTGTACCCTGGAAGAAGCTGATATTAGATTTATTGTTTGGAGGTTCAACAACATTTTTTACCAATTTGTCCCTCAGATTGGGGGCTTTTCTGTATATGAATTTAGGTTGTGCAGGGATAATCTCTTGAGATGCTTGTCTTGTTTTTAATATATATTCAAATGCCATTGAATAATGCGCTCTATTGCTTTATGCGGTTTGTTGTATTCCAATACTACTGGTATATTTATTTCCCTTTTATCTGCAGATTTGTTATCTCCCAACATCACATTCCTATTCAAGCTCCTTACTTTTGTTCTTTCTTTCTCAATGATTTCTTGCTGATATCCATTCTGTATAAATCTGTTGGCTATGATTTCACTCATATCAAATAAATAGGTGTGGGTATATATTTCATCAGATTGGGGTAAAATTATATAGATATTTATATATTATAGATTAGTAATATATATATATATATATATATATATATATATATATATATATATATATAGATCTTAGTAAATACATCACAATTTTATATTATTATGGTTATTAGTAATATTTTATTTTTATTTTGGTTTTTATTTTCATTGAATAAAATGTTATTTTTTTTGGTTTTAAAAAATGTATTGTAGGTTTAGGTTGTGCTCACATTCATGTGTAAGGAATGAATATTGTCAATTATATGTAATTCACCATATGTGATTGTTTAGGGAGTGTTTAATGTTGCCAGCTGCGGTAGTGGTACACACTAGGATCACCATTTAGGCGAAGGGATTGCAGGGTGAATTAGTACCCTTAGATTACCTTATAGTTATTATACATATGGAGGATCGCACAGCGCAGATATTTATCTATTTATAAAAATGTGGGCTAAATAGCTCTGGAAATAATAGCAATATTTCCACATAAGAATATAAGCCACAGAAACATTGCCACCGCCACACAGACCACAAGAAAATGGCGCTGAGGTGATCCCTATATAAAAAAGTGAGTGCCGTCCAATCATTTTTTCCCTGATGAAGCCATGTGACGCGGTGGCGTAATGCATAGGGGAGGGGCTCTGATGTCATGACGCTCATATGAACAGTGAGAGAGGTGCCAGCAGGATTGCATGAGAGAACTGATAGCGGTATTTTAAGCACTTTGACTATAGGAAGCGCATCTAACACGAGTGGAATACAGCTTATAAATAAATGCTTTTATAACGGATAAAGTACTATATTCTGATTATTTCTTATGGCATGCAGGGGTGATTTGCGGACAGGGGATGCAGGGGTGAGTTGCGGACAGGGGATACAGGGGTGAGTTGCGGACAGGGGATGCAGGGGTGAGCTGTGGTTGGGGGGTGCTGAGGTGAGCTGTGGTTGGGGGGTGCAGAGTCGAGCTGTGGCCTCTCTGCACCCCTCCAGCAGCAGCTCACCTATGCACCTTGTCTGCAACTCACCTGTCAATTTACCTCTGCAACACCTGACTGCAGGTCACCTTTGCACACTCCTCCCCCTCCACTGCACTCATATGATTGGCTAGCTTTGCAAAACACAGCTGTCAGCAGCCGGCCCCTCTCTATAGTAACTCCCGTTTTGGGTCCTACCTTCCCACACAGTGCACCAAGCGCACTCACTCACCGCTCCACCTCTTCCCCACTGGCCGGCGATCACCCCTGCGGCATCGACTTCCATGCATGAGGCTGCAGTACCAGACGCCCCGCAAACCACTGCACACTGCGCCTACAGATATCTGTTCCTTCCCTGTCCCACAGTGAGTACAGAGGTAGGGAGGTTCTGTGGGAGTGGATGGTGCTGTCACTTACAAGAGGGACTGTCACTTGCAAACACAAAAGCCGCGCTTCTGTATTTATAAGAGACAGTAGATATTGGTGTGAACAGGGCCAGTGGTGGAACTGCGTTCCACCATGTTCCGGCTGAAAAGAAAATCCCGGATCACAACTAGGTCTTATACTTTAGCAGAAATAGTACTAGGCCTTATTTTCGGGGAAACGGTCTCATTTTAGGGACTGATGTCAGATTTTCCATGTCATGACTACAAGAATGCCCTTACTGTCATGACACAGCCTGCCTCCAACCAAAAAGCTGTAGTCAATGGACTGCTGCTCGTCCCATGGAAACAACAATCTTACTGCTGCTGTTTAACACTTATGGCTAAATTATTAACACCAACCCCAGATATAACAAATTTCCTGCTCACTTAGCCATGGCAATTTCACTGTAAAAACTTGCAGCATAGATCATGAAAAAGGAGATCTGAGAATCTGTACTGTTTTATCTCTCTATGCAGGCACTATGGCACATTTTTTTTGGTCCATTTATGCTCTTTCATTGATCATTTCTTACCTCTGTTGGATCAGAAACCTGCATATGGGTCTCTGATGGAGCTTTGATGACCATTAACATGCGCTCCGATGGGTCTGCAATGCTGCGGAGGTCCTGGCAGGTGACATACCCCAATGTAGAAATGGTCAAGGTAAATATACTAACCGTCATCTCTTATCAAGTAGATTTATTGTGGGTAAAATGGATATGTGGCAAATTCTCACAATAAGCTGCACCAGAAAGGCTAAAAGGAAAAGTGAAGTAACTCATAACCACTAAAATCACCCTCCACTGCTCAGACTGCATGAAAACCAAAGAAAGAATGAAAAATTAAATCTGGTTACTGTGAGCTATTGCACTTTGAACATTAAACGCCACCATCTCTCCCACCCCACACGCCAAAGTCCTGGGTGTCACCCTGGACTCCCACCTCTCCTTCCTACCCCACATCCAACTGCTATCTAGATCTTGCAGGCTCCACCTCCGCAACATCTCCAAGATACGCACATTCCTCACCCCAGACACCACCAAACAACTCGTACACTCCCTCATCATCTCAAGCCTGGACTATTGCAATTCCCTTCTCACTGGCCTACCCAAACGAACGCTATCCCCACTCCAGACGATCCTGAACTCAGTGCCTAGACTCTTCCACCTCAC